GTGGAACCGACCTTCGAATCTCTTCACCCAACACTTCTACTCGAAATGGAAGTAATCCCAACAATTGTGGATACCTTATCCTATCATCTTTCACACTTAATGTGCCCAGGTGGGTAGAGTCGCTGCAGAAGCGTCACCGTGTCTGGGACCAGCTAGACTGTAGAGGGCACCAGGGCTGTACGACGAGAGGTTGTTGTTCGAGGAATCGGTTTTCTTTCAGACTTTATGCTCCCCTCCCTTTTTAGTGACAGTGTACGAAGAAGAGATTTGGGCAACAATGGATCTTCCTGCCGAGGCAATATCATTCAGGGTCGGGGAAACCGCTGCTACCACTCGCCAATCATGACATTATGACACTTACTTCGAGCCAACGTGTCAAGCAAACTAACCTATCTATCCCTGTATGCTGAGTATATACTGAAAATCTACAAATGTTCTGTGTCCTATAGAAGGTTGTCTCACTTTGATGATGTCTGCAATATTTCACATGCAGGGGGATTACAGTAAATCCCCTTAGACACGAATATTGTGGTGAATTTCACTTCAGCTTTTCTCCGTCATGTGCAGGACATCGTGAAATCTCGCTGTGAAAGCGTCAGTTGTAACTATAAGTAATGACAACAGACTGTAACTACAGTGCAGGAGCAGTGAATCTTAAATGCACGAATGGGATTATGTAATCCCGAACGTATGCTTGGTTGTGTTGATGAGCTTAAGAGACCTGTCGAGCAAACGCAAACAACAGACCAACAAACCTCTTCATCAGGCCCTTGAGGCGAGGCAAAGTCACCATAACGACGAAAGCTGATCACAATTCCACCGCAACTGTCAACCAGAATGATTCAACAAAGTCAAATGACCATAGGCCAAGATGATCCTTCCGTCGTCTGCCATTCATTGCCCAGCAGCAGCTCAGCAGTTTCAAACAAGGACATTTATATAAAAATAACTTTTTTTGCCACATTGGAAAGGCATCTGAAGAACCGAGCGTATATGGCCCCAACTGGACGACAAGCTTAGCTTGATTCGGTATAGATATAATTCTATATCCTCATCTCAAGCGGGACTCTGGCCTCGCAACAAATGGCTCTTCTCCTTTGCTGCAACCTGGTAACCTTGGCAACGACGTTAAGGGAAAAGTTGGATCTGTAGTCCTGACGAACACTTTCCTTCGGCCTTTGCGTCCTCCCCCATTTGACGACCATTTGGCCAATTGAAAAAGCAAGTTCGAATTCCCTTCATCACATTTTTAACTGTCGACACTAATTAAGATTATGTAAGGACAATTGGCCTCTAAGAAAAACTAATCTGGCCGACTCCGAGGCTTATGAAACATCTGAGAATGTACCAAGTCAACGGTCTGCTGCTGAAATTTATCATGAATAGTATGGCAGAGAACGCAAAACTAATTACGTTTTACAAGGTCCCCTTTTGGCCTTGATCAAGTTGCGAAAACGAGGTCAAATCAACATTAACCTGGCTGCAATCTATGGCTAATTCGTGAGCTCTTCTATACGAAGATAGGAAGACCAAGATGGTGTGACCCTCGGTATGGTCACAGTTTCCTTTCAATTTATAGACTTGGGTTGACCTCGTTTTCGCGACTTGATCCTGTTGTCAGAAGGACTTAGTTGAACGCACCTTGTCCAAAGTCCTCTGATATAGTAGTTGTCATACTTCCCACCGTCAGACCGTGGACTTGGTACACTCTCAGAAGTTTCACCGGCATCGTAGTCGGCAAAATCAGTGAGTCTTGCCATCTCTCTGCACCAAGCTACAACTCGCCAAGATTTGTCTCTCTTTGACGGTTGTAGCTTGGTACTGAGAATGGCAAGACTCACTGATATTGCCGACTACAATGCCGGCGAAACGTCTGATAATGTACCAAGTCCACGATCTGATGCTGGGAATTATGATAACTCTTATGACAGAGGACCTCGGATAAGATGCGGTCTACTAGGTCACCTTGACAACAAGACCAAGTTGCGTAAACGCGGTCAACCCACTTCTTCTAAACGAGTTTGGCGCATGTGAAGTTGGCAAAAGATGACAATTTCTGTGACGACGGATCGGCCGCAGGTTCAAACCTGCCTCTTCGGGATCGGGGAGTGATAGACTGGCCTAGCAATACTCCTCCCGGACTCAGGTAAGCATATGCTACGCATCCGGTCCAGTACGCTGGACATTGGAAATGAAAAATCCAGGCTTTTCGGCCCAATCACATGATAGCCCAACAGACCGGTTGGATCACTTGCACTGACCTTCCTCGGTGGAGGTGACAATAAATTAACGAACTACCTTACTTGAACGTTCCGGTGGGGGGGTTCGAGTCTGGGCTTCCGGACAAAAAGGCCGGTTTTGGGCATAGGCATTAGTAGTGTATGCGAAGAAAAGTTGGGATTTGAGGAATCTCTTGTTTCATAATTGTTGAGCTTATTTCCATTTCAAGTGATAGTGTTGGGTGAAGAGATTCGAAGATCGGTTCCACCAGATGACGACGGCGGATTCT